CTGACTTCTCTGATCCCCCTTCTCCCCACTCTGGACCTTCACTTCCTCATCTCCCCCTACCGTTGTGCAAGGTCTCATTCCTGTAATAATCCCTCCTGCCCTCAGTGTAAACCAACTTGGTTCTCAGTTTCCCCACTGCTGGCTGGGGTTTTGTCTCTGTTAAGTTTGCTCAGTTTTCATTCATTCATCTAATTTCTTGCTTCCAAAATGTTTACTCCTGGGAGCTTCCCTGGTGGCGTAGTGGTTGGGAGTCCGCCTGCCGATGCAGGGGACACGGGTTCGTGACCCAGTCCGGGAGGATCCCACATGCTGTGGAACAGCTGGGCCCATGAGCCATGGCCGCTGAGCCTGCGCGTCCGGAGCCTGTGTTCCGCAACGGGAGAGGCCACGACAGTGAGAAGCCCACGTACCGCAAAAACAAACAAACAAACAAAATGTTTACTCCTGTCATCTCTCCTGTTCTCCCCGCCTTTACATGGATTTATGTATTTTAAAAAATCATTTCTTGGTACTCCCCGGTGGCACAGCGGTTAAGAATCCACCTGTCAATGCAGAGAACACGGGTTCGAGCCCTGGTCCGGGAAGATCCCACATGCCGCAGAGCAGCTAAGCCCGTGCGCCACAACTACTGAGCCTGCGCTCTAGAGCCCGCAAGCCACAACTACTGAAGCCCGTGCACCTAGAGCCCATGCTCTGCAACAAGAGAAGCCACTGCAATGGGAAGCCCGCGCACCGCAACGAAGAGCAGCCCCCACTTGCCGCAACTAGAGAGAAGCCGGTGCGCAGCAACGAAGACACAATGCAGCCAAAAATAAATCAATAAATTAAAACAAAAAGAACCCCCCCCCCACAATCTGTAGGTGCTATGCTTGGGGAAATCCAGGCAACAACAGAAACATGGGGGAGAAAGATGAACCCCAACTCAAGGGAAGGAGGCTGTCCAGATGAGTTACTTCGGGGACGTGAAGGCCAGGCTGAAATGTGACTTTAGTAAGACAAAGGGGATATTCCATCGGCGGTCTGTGTGAAGATCCAGATGTGAGAAAGAGAACAAATGGCATGTTCAGGGTACTGGAAAAGTCCAGTGTGGCTGGAGCATAGGGTGGGTCATGTGGCTAGAGGGGTAAACTGAGGCCAGTTTTTGCACAGCCTCATACATCAAAGTGCAGTTTTGACTTTATCCTGAAGGCAATGGAGTATCACTGAAGAGAAAAAGTTCCTACCCTTATTTTTCCTTAGCTTCATTTTTCTCTCATATTTTACACACACACACACAAATGGCCTTGAATCCGTTCATGAACAAAGTGAGGGTATAACCATCTAATTCGCCAAATAACATCATTAAAGAAAGCTTAGCGCTCAAGGGAGGAAAATCCAACATAACACATTCATGCTAAAACAATATATAGCCAGTAAGAAAGGATACAAACATGTGCACAGAGTGTCTCTTGAAAGATAAACAAGAAACTGGTATTAGTGGTTGTCTCGAGGAGGAAAACTAGGTGGCTGGGCGTAGGTATGGGGGGGAAGGCTTTCACTGTGTAGTCCTTTTTACCTTTTGAATTTTGTACTGTTTACACAGTTATTAAAAACTAAGTAAAATGTAATTTTAGAATAAATAGCTCCAATCTGGTAAAAAAAAAACAACCCAAAAAACAAAAAACAACAAATTTAAGTCAATAGTTGTAGGCTCTCTCCTGCCCCATTTCTCCAGCAGATAATCTACCAGAATGCCAGGCTAGGATATTAATGTGAAAGTGAAAAAAGTAACTCAAAGTAGCCTTGGCTAGAAAACAATAAGCAAGATCCGGTGAGGGGTAGAATGAGGGGTGCAAAATGGAAAGAGGATTCAAAGTGAAACTTTACATGTGCTCTTGGGAGGGCATTTATGCTTTTCAGTCTTGGCTTCATCGTATGAAATACAGCAATAATGGTGGCATGTATATCACAGGGCAGTAGTGGGAATTAAATATGTTGGATCCTGGTTATTAAAAGGCCAACAAGACTGTACCTGATAAAGGAACTGAGACACAGAAAGGTCAGGTAACCTCAGGGAGATTACAATCTGGTGTGGAGGAGACAGACAAGTAAGTAGTAGGCAATGTGAGCACCCTGTGAGAAGTGTCTCAAGGTAAGCGAGAGCACTACGGGAGGGACCTGCAGGAGGCGTGCTGCCTTAGGTTGGGCTCCCTAGGAACCAAGTCTGAGATGGGGTTCCCGGGTAATAATTGAGGAATGCTCTCAAGTGCACCCTGTAAGGGAATGAGGGAGGCAGGATAGGGCAGGAAGAAGCTGGACAAGAGGTGTGTTTAGCTTAGGGGTTTGCAAACTGGTCTTCAGACCAAATCTGTATTTCTGTAAAGAGTTGTACTGGAACACAGTCACACTTACTTTGTTTACGTATCACTTATGGTGGCTTTTGGGCTATGAAGATGGAGTTGAGGAGTTGTGACCGAGACGGTATAGCTCACGAAGTCTAAAATATTGACTATCTCTGGCCCTTTACAGAAAGGTTGCAATCCCTGGTTTAGCTGAGTCTAGCCTCAGCCTGATCCCAGGGGGAGCTCTGGAGCACGAACAGCATCAAAGAATCGTCGCAGCTGAAGACAAGGTGAGTGGACTTTTGTACATTTGGCAGACTTTGGGACCTCGTGCTTAGAAGGGCCCCAAAACTGGAGATAAGGAGAGAGGTCTAGGCTGGAAATACAAATTTGTGAGTTGTCAGGATACAGATGGTATTTAAAGCCTAGTATTTAAAGTCTGGTATTTAAAGCCTGAATGAGATCATCCAGAGAATGATTATAGGTGGAGAAGGGATCTTCTGAGCCTTGAGGCATACCGATGTTTAGAGGTCAGGAGGCGGAAAGGATCTAGGAAAGTAGATGCAGAAGGAGAGGCCTATGAAATAGGAGAAAAACTGAGAAAGTGGTTTCCTAGAAACCAAGTAAAGAACACATTTTAAGGAAGGAGTGACCAAGCTGTGACAAATACTGTTAGCGAAGTAGTAAGTTTGGGGCAGGATGTGGGGACAGGATGGTTGCACCCAGAAGTCCACAGGGAGTCTGTGAGCTCAAGGTGGGTGAGAGGAGCTGCCCAAATATGCAAATACACACACACACACTCACATCATGCATACGCAGCCACACTGGTGTCTTTATCTGGGGCTTGTGAGTCTAGGCTGGTATAGAGACGAGGTGGGGGAAGGTAGAAGTTAATTTTTGACAAGAGCAGTTTCAGTGGAATTACCTGAGCAACAGCCTGACAGAATGAGTTCAAGAGAGAGGGAAGAAATTGGAGACAGCAAGCATAAATAACATTTTCTAGGAGTTGTGTTGAAAAGGGGCACAGAGAAATGGAGGGATAGCCAGAGAATTACGTACAGTCAAGGGAGGGGTTTTGTTTTAAGATGGGAGAAACTGCATCATGTTAGTGGAAGTGATCTAGGAGAGAGGGAAAATCGATGATGCAGGAGGGGAGAACTACTAGCGGGACATTCTTGAATTGATGAGAGGATATGGCACTTGAAGCAAAGAGAAGAGGCTCATGGACAGTTTGTCCACAGCACAGAAGACAAGGCAGAGCTTGTATGCACAGACAAAAGTAGGTTGATGGATAGGGTGGTGGGAGCTCAAGGAAGTTCTCTTGATGGCTTCTATTTTCTCAATGAAATAGGAAGCGAGACCATCTGCTGAGAGTAGAGGTTTACAGAAGGAGAGGAAAGGGTAAAGTGGTCACCCAGTAGAGTGGCTAAGTGAGGGGCTAATTTTATATCTTCTACAGCTCCTTCGTTACTTCGACAAGTATGTTCTCAGTGTTTATCATGTCCCAGGCACTTTGATAAACACCAAATGTTTCTTGAAAGAAGTGTGGCTGTAAAACACCCGAAGCATGTTTTAGGTCTGGAGCTGAGTGCAGCTTGCAGAGCAGGAGAAGTGGTGATTCAGACAGAAGAAGCCAGAAGCCTCTCTTTGGGGCCATTGCAGAAATCTCCTAACTGGTTTCTTGGAATCCATTTGGTTGAGTCATTTTCCTGAAACACAAGTCTGATCATGTCACACCTTTCCTTTACATCCCTCAATGATGGTATACAAGAACTTGTGACAAACTGCTTCTAAGGAAGAAAACAGAACACTGGCATGCAGAGACTTACTTTTTAAGTATACACTTGTATAGTGTTTGGAGAAAAAAACATATATTCACTATTCAAAGCAAAACCAAGCCGCCTCCTCAAAAAACTTTCTATGGCTTTCCACTGCCCTTAGGGGGAAAGAAAAGCCTTGGTCTATAATGCTCTGCGCAGTGTGGCCACGCCGTATTGATTTCTCTTCTTTTGGCTCTCTCCAATGCAGCGACACTGGCCTCCAACTCGGCTGGGCGACTGAGGCTTTCACACCGGCTTTTCTTTCTGCTTCTCTCATTCTTACTCCCATCAGATGAGGAAGGAGCCAGCGCCCAGCCGCCGTCTTGGCCTTCCCTGTAATAGAGGCGGAGAGTGACACTGTCGGCATCCCTTGGTTCAGAGGGCGCCGCGTGAGAGAGAGAGATGGGTTGGGGTCGCACCACCTTGCCCACAAGGTCGGACGGTTCAGGGACACGGTGTGATGGATCTCGCCTCTCCTAGAAGGCCTTTGCGGGGTAGGGGTGGGGGCTGGAGCCAGGCGATGGATTTGCCAGGTGTGAGTCAAAACATGGTCTCCTCCCCCTCAAAAGAGGAAGCCTGAACCACTGGCTGTGACAAAGGCTACAAGGCAAAGACGCCATGACCTGCCCCGTCTCGTACCTCTTGCGTCTGCCGGGCGACAGCAGCGCTGGGAAATTGATCCGGAGAAGCAGGCAGCACTACTAGCAAAGCACGCCGGCCTTGCGCCGGCGCACTCCGGACCCTGGCGCCGGCGCACCCAGGTCCCGCCCTGGGGCGGGCCCGCGCCCCCACCCCGCCCCCCGCCTCTGCGTGCGCACCGCCTAGAGCCCGCCTCCGTGAAAGACTGCCCGGCGCATGCGGTCGGGCTGGTGCACTGGCTGCCGGGGGCTCAGCGTGAGCGTCGCCCTCTCAGCTCTTAAGCCGACGGCAGGATTTAAAGCCGGCCTCAGGTAGGCTAACTCCAGGGATCCCGCGGGAGCTGTTCTTCCGTGCAGGAGTCGGAGGCAGGAGCAGAGCCCGGCGCGGGACAGCCCCACCGCCGGTGACAGACACAGCTCCCACCAATCAGGGGTGAGGTGGCCCGCCGGCCTGCCCAATGGGCTGCGTGCCTAAAGGGAGTGGGGCGGGCGGCCAGGCCGGCGAGGAGCCGGCTCCCGCGCACGGGGCCGCGTGGCCGGGCGCCGCCGGGGAGACCGGCCGTGGGGGGCGTGGGGCGGCGGGGGAAGGCCGCGCGTCCCGGGCTGCGGGTCCCGGCAGCGCCCATTTCAGCGCGGCCTGGCTCGCCTGACCAGGGTGCCAGGGTGGCTCGTGGGACGGAGAGGGCCGTAGAGGCTTGGGAGCCCCCTCTGCCCAGCCAGCCCCAAGCGGCTCGGCGGTCGCCGCTCCATTCGGACTGCCGCGGCCCTCGCCCTCCGGCGTTAAGGCACGGCCTTAGCTTCGTTGGAGGGGGATCAAGGTCCGAGCCACGCCCGCCGCGGTGGGGGATGGGCTCGGCGGCCTGGCTGCGGCCCCCTCCGGCGCGCCCGGACTTCGGCGGGCGGAGGGGGTCTGGGAGCTCGCGGAGCCGGACGGCCTCCAGGTGCTGGGGAAAGGTCGGCTTCTGCCCCACAGCTGGTCTCCTTACTTACCGGCCGCCCAGAACGAAGATGCTGCATTTTAAAGAACTTCACTACGTGTGCGTGGCGCACTTACGTCCACACTCATTATAAATTTGAATCCTCAGCAGTTATGTGACACAGGCGATGCGGAGATTCTCAACCCCGTTTAACGGATGTGAGGACTTGGGCTTCAGGCGGCTTCTGTGACTTGACAGGTCCCAGTACACAAGTGGTGGAGCTGGAACTGGATCTCGGCATTTAATAACAACATCTTTGTTGTTGTGTCATCTTTGATGAGTTCCTTTGATGCATCTTGATTTCTGTTACTTTTGTGCTTGAAAACCTTCCCATGTCTCTCATCACCTTCAGACTAAAGTTCGGATTGAGCACTCAAGTTGCCCCATGATTTGGACCCTTGCCTAAATTTCCTATTTATTTCCCACCATCTCCCCCTCACCCCCAGCCTCTTTCCTTGGCCCTCCCTCTGTGTTCTGTAGATAGCTGTACCTTCCTGTCCACTCTGTTCCCTTTCCCTTAAAGGCCGTTGCAAGTCTCAGGTCAACACAGCAGCAGCCATCTGGTTCCTCTCCTCCCTTCACTCCTCTCACCTTTCTCTGATGGGCCATGGTCCTTACCCTGGTCTTGCCACTGAAAGCTTTCTGCTCTCTCTTCTTTTCCATTTATACCTGTCACACATCATCCCTCTGCTTCCTACCATCACTGGATTACTCATTTATTTGTAAATGTTCTGTCTCTCTAAATGGACTGCAGCTTGAGCTGTGGGCCCAAATCTGAGTAATTTTTGTAGTCCCCGAAGTGTCTAGCACAGTAGCACTTATCTACAGGGTAGTCCATACTTGGGGGTGACTGGGTCCCATCAGCCTCTCCTGCCTGGCCTCTTGAGTACATTAGAATATTTATTGCAGGGCACTGTGGGGGACTGCAGGCATCTCCCCTAAAGAGAGGTGTTGTCTTCTTAGAGTAAAATTGGGGCCAATCAAATGCAAATGGATGAGATGAATCTTCTATAGAAGTAACCCACTCTATAACCCACGCAGGATGGCTGAGGAATTTCTGGAACATCCAAAATTTAGTCAGTGAGTCCAGGGTGTAGTCTCAGGGATATGCCTGATTAGGATGTCTCTAAAATGTAGCCAGGTCTGATGTTCACATGTCAGTAAGGCACTGTTCAGCTGTGAAGTGACAGAGCAGTGTTTCCCCCAAATATTAGGGACTTGGGGTCAAACAAGTTTAGGGAAACTGCTGACTGTATATCCCTTTTGGGAGATCACAGTGCACATTAGCTTATTAAAGGCTCCCAGAGGTCTTGCATTAAAGAAACCAGTTGACTGTTTAACCAGCATTTCTCTGATTTATTTGTCCATAGAGCCCTTTTTGGGTATCCCACATGCATTTTGACGAAACCGAGGAGCATGCTTTTGGGAGTGCTGCAACAGAGAATAGAAAGAGCAGGACCTGGTTGGGTCTTTTCCTTGCTGTCTGAGGGGGGAAGACATTCTGAGCATTCTCATCTCTATGCCAAGTATGTTTATTTCTGCCTTGGGGAGGAGCAGAGCGGAGCAGGGAGGTGGAATGCTTCAAGCAGAACTGCCCAGTTTCCTTGTTCCCTTCTTAGCTTATTTTTATTATAATTTGGCTTCACAAGAAGTGTTCCCAGAGGAGGAAAATGTCCCAGACCATATGCCAAAGCAAGCATTCTCTTCTCCTTGTGATTGTGTTTCTCATTTTGATCACATTTGGGTGTACTGACCAAATGCTATTTCTGAGCCTCCAAAACCGGGGCCAGTGATCAATTCTCCCTGGCGGGCCTGTCGCTGTCTGTCTGCTCACCTCTTGCCCCTGCTGTTCTTGCGTCCATCCATCTCTTTTATCTCTCATGAAGTCTGTTTCTTCCATTCCCTGCCACAACTGTCCGGTTCTTAGGATTTAATCTAATCTCCCCTCTCTTTGAGTCCTCTGCCCATTATGTGCTCAGACTGGTTTATTGTCGGATGTCCGTTTCCTCCAATATATATAGTCTCTCTTCATGGCATACCTGGGAGAGATTGCTGGCAAGGAGCAAGTTATTACATTTCAGAAGAGAGCTACCTTTAATTAAAAGATCTTTAGTTTTAACTGCTACTCCTTTTAAATGTTGAAGTTCTTTTATGCGGTCTTCCATAACCTAGAGGAGCTGTGTTTTCTTGGCGATAAATTTTAGTTTAGCCAAAGACATTATCTCTTTCATGGGGAATTGGAGTGCTCATCCAAGATTGAAATTTTTTTCTCCATGTAGGGAAAATGATGAAGCACCTGCCTGACAACCCAGTGTCTGGCGGCAGTGTCAGCCAGCATTGGGGGCATAATGTTCTATCAACAGAGCTGCCTTTTTTTTTAAATTATGTTGGCTCTCAAGGTTGTTAGCTGTCAAAGTTTTAAACAAAAGCTGCATTATTTAATTAGCAGTTGTTTTTCAAGTCATACTTGACTAAAGCCATTGAGTGATCCAAGAAACATTTGTTAGGATCCCATATAACAACCTTCCAAAGTCATGTGACAGATAGGGAAACCGAGGCTCCTAGAGGCTTCATAGCTGGTAAGTGGCAGAGCCAGGATTTGAACCCAGATCAGTTTGATTTGTTGAGGTATGTTTTTTTCTTTTTCCCAGGTCAACAAGTAAAATGAAGTACATTCTAGTTACTGGTGGTGTCATATCAGGAATTGGAAAAGGAATCATCGCCAGCAGTGTGGGCACAATACTCAAGTCATGTGGTTTACATGTAACCTCCATTAAAATTGACCCGTATATTAACATTGATGCAGGAACGTTCTCTCCTTATGAGCATGGTAAGCAAAATGCATTTCTTTTTTCTTATTTAAAAATAATTATGTAATGTGTGAGAGAAAATCTCAGCCCCTGGAAATTGTGTGTATTTTGCATTCCATGACCTCCACTTCCTGCCTTCTGAGAGGGGTCCTTAGCATAGCGGAGTGATGCTTTTCTCAGTTGGACAGAGAAGAAGAAGAAATCTTAATAGGCAATGGAGTGATTAGAGTTCAGTGGTTTCTGTAATAGGAATGATATTTTAGGTAGCTGAATGAAAGTTTGTCTCTTCTCTTGAAGAAAGATATCTGGTGACACAGTAACTTTCTTCAGATATTTGAGAAGAGGGATTATGTTTATACTTTGTGGCCCCAATCTTTAGGAATAGGATGGGTGGATAGAAGTTGTAAGGCCATGGATTTTGGCCCAGTGTAAGATCTTTATAATAGTAAGTGCTCTCCAAAAGTGGGGTGAAGATTTTGTGAGTTCCCTTTGGTAGAGGTGTTCAGACAGAGGCCAAAGGACCACTTGCAGGGATTCAGGCAACAGATAGATGTTGAATTTCGATGATCTGCATGCTTGAGATTCTGTTTTGCTAACAGAGTTTGGATAGTAAAAACAAGCATCCTTCGAGGTGAGTGAAAAGGAGAAACCGTTAAGGTGGGGTAGGAAAACAGCACTATACTTCTTTGTTATTGCTGATTACTACCAACTGTGTGATGAGTAACTGTGTCTGAATCGCCTAAGAGTAATTTCTTAAAATTGGGGGTAGATGTACTATTGAGACATGTTAAAAAATACTTCTCAAGTATTTATTTATTTGTTTGTTTGTTTCTTTATTTTTGGCTGTGTTGGGTCCTCGTTGCTGTGCACGGGCTTCCTCTAGTTGCAGTGAGCGGGGGCTACTCTTCGTTGCGGTGCGCGGGCTTCTCGTGGTGGCTTCCCTTGTTGCGGAGCACAGGCTCTAGGTGCGCGGGCTTCAGTAGTTGTGGCACGTGGGCTCAGTAGCTATGGTTCGTGGGCTGTAGAGCTCAGGCTCAGCAGTTGTGGCGCACGGGCTTAGTTGCTCCGCGGCATGTGGGATCTTCCTGGACCAGGGCTCGAACCCGCATCCCCTGCCTTGGCAGGCGGATTCTTAACCACTGTGCCACCAGGGAAGTCCCTCAAGTTTTTAAATTGTTTTCATACTCCTACTTTCTAATGTGAAGTAAAAATCTATGAGTGTCATCAGAGCAGAAATCTTTATGTAATAAATAGTGTCAGGAAGGATGGAAAAAATTGGAGCAATATTTCAGCATTCCTGAGAGCAGAGGGTGAGGGAAAAACAAGACCATTTTTACTTTCCTATTTTGGGGCTTGTCTCCCATTGTGATGGTAGGAAGGCCCCGTTTGGGGCAGAATTTCTAGAATGACATTTCAAGGAATGATTGTTAAACAAAGGAATAGGAGGAAACTTGAGCAATTTCACACCTTTGTTTTGGACTAAAGTGTGGCCCAGAAGCCGGTTTTTATAATCAACACAACTGTAACATATATACCTTGTTTAAGTTTTTGGATCAAATCCTACTTTTATCACATTCAAACCTTTCTCTGCTCAGGTAGGAGACTTGAGACAAAAGTTCTTTTTCTTTAGGTGGCGGATGCCATACCATGTAAAGTTCCCTATGTCTTGCTTGGCTGTAGTTTCCTTCTGTTCATTCCATGCTGTTTCATGACAGAATCTTCTAATTCGGACTGAGTTTGGCGATAAACTGGAAGTATGGAGTTAACCTTTTGCAGAATGATTGGCGACTTTTCTTTCTTGTCATATTTACTTTTCTGGAAATAAATTTCCCTGCTTCCTGTCAAGTTAATGCAGACTTGGTTCTTTTCAAGTGTTTATATTTGGGAACTCAAGTTGTGCCGTGGTATTTGTATCTTTCACCCACCCTAACCATTATCACTGTTCACTGCAGGTGAGGTTTTTGTGCTGGATGATGGTGGGGAAGTAGACCTTGACCTGGGTAACTATGAACGTTTCCTTGACATCCGCCTCACCAAGGACAATAATCTGACTACTGGAAAGATCTATCAGTACGTCATTAACAAGGAACGCAAAGGAGATTACTTGGGGAAAACCGTCCAAGGTAACACTGGATTTGCCTTCAAGGTTTAAAAGTCTTAGCCAGTTTAATTTCTTTTGTGTATAAAAATGTGCCTTTTTTGCAATTTCATCATGAAAGTATCAAGGTATTGTTACTGAACTATGTCTTCAGTTGAAAATTCAGAGTTGCATGGCTGTTTAACTTGAGTAGGCTCCCGCCTCTCTGTGAATGGCACTGAAGCTGACAGTCCAGCTTCATGATTTGGGTAATGAGACAGGCGTTAATACCCGTGGATGAAGATGGCCTGGAGCCTCAAGTGTGTGTTATTGAGGTTTGTTGAGTCTGTTTGGAGCTCCGTGGTACCTGCGCATGTGACCAGGTGTACATTTTCTCCTCCTTCGTCACCCACCAGCAACTGATAAGCCAGTTGCCTGTGAAACCCTTGACCCTCCTAAGGGCAGCGTGGCAGGTAAGGGCACAGTCACCATCACGTGGAGTGGCTGCACCATCGAAAGCAATGCTTCGTTCATGCAGTTCTCCTTTTTCAGCATTTATACATTTGCTCAGTATGAATTGTACCGATAAGAGTGGCATGACGCAGTTTCGTCTGTCTCTTGAGAAAGTCAGGTGGCCCGACCTTCGGCTTTCCTCTGGCAGGGATGTTCATCCCTCTGAATGAGCCTGTTTTGGTTTTAGTTTCTGTTGTTTTCCACAGTGATGAGCGTGAAGTGATGACAGCAGCTAGGGGAGGGCAGTCAGCCAGACGGCGCATGTCGTGCATCTGGGACGTTCTGTGTATAGACAGGGAGAAGGAAAAGGACTCCCATTGTGTCCATTGGCCTTTGGGCTGGTCATGGGTTAGAGGGAGTCTGAGAAGCAGGTCTCTGGGTCCTCCTGAGCTTTCACCAGCGCAGCGCCTGTCTGTCTGCTGGGTGGAGGTTTTGCACAGCGATCATTTGAGGCTAGCGCTGCTTTTCAAAAGTGGGTGTTGGAAGGCCACAGGTCTAGTATGATGGCATAAGTCCAGATTTGGGGGCTTGCTGAAGAGTGGCTGTCATCTGAGTTATGAGAATAAATCTGCGTTTGACTTTGGACTTTACTGGACTGAAGGCTGAGGGTCACGCTGACAGCTGTCTCTCCCCTGGGGCCACCCTGGCCGGATTCTGGGCTAGGGGGTCATGTGTGGGTCTTAGCTCTGCCACTTAACCAGCTTTGTGAACATGGGCAGATTACTTTCCCTCTTTGAGGTCTAATTTCCTTTTCTGTGAAATGGGGATAATAACAGTACCTACCTATCCGGGTTGCTGGGAGAATTAAAGGAGCTCAGTCAGTCGAGTATTTCTCTTGAGTTCCCAACACACAGAACGGGATCAATTAGGAGTTGCAGTGATCTTGATCATACAGTTTGCTGTTCTAGGCCTCTAGTGTATTAATTCATTTATTCACTCATCAGTGATTTCTTGAGTGCCCAGTGTGGTCAGACCCTTGCTGATACTGGGAGTGTGCATGATGAACAAGCCCAGTGAGGCCGTTGTCCTCATGGAGGTTACCTTCTGGGAGAGAAAAAACCAAACTGGTGAAGTGAGTTGTCTGATAGGAGCTGAGAAGGAACTAAATAGAGTGAGGAGAGAGAGAGAGAGAGAGTGGTGTGGAAGGCAGTCTGGACAGGTGGTCAGGGAAAGCCTCCAAGAGAGGGCGTTTGAGCTGGGTGGCCAGCCCTGGGAAGAGCAGAAGGGGTGCTCGGCGCGGACCCAGGGCCCCGGCTGCAAGGGGGCTGGTCAGGGACCAGGAGGGAGATTTCCTGCACTGAGACCAAGGGGCAGGTGGGAGAGGTGGGCTGCAGCCAGGTTCCACGGGGCCCCCTGAAGGGCCACGGCATAGAGGTTGCATTTTACTCAGAGCCGTGGGAGGCCATTCGGGAGTTTAAGCCTGGGAGTGGTGAACCCTGAGTTGCATTTTAAAAGACCACTTGGGCTGCTGGGTGTGGAACAGGTGATATCCTGTGCTTGAGGCACTGCCGGTTCTATGCATAGCAAGTTAAACAGCAACCTCTGCCCCTCAGGAGCCGGCCTTCTGAGCCCACGACTGTGGTTTAAAAAGCGCTGAGCCATGGCTGGGGTTGATGAGCACCGTCACGCAGGGGCTCTGCTCAGCATCTCACCAGTGCTGTATCGCTACATTTCCATGACTTCAGGAAGTAGAAGCTCTTACCTCCAGTTAACGGATAGGGAGATCGAACTTACGAATAGTTAGGTAATTTGCCCAAAGACCCACACCTGACGAGTGGTGGAACTGAGACTTGAATCCAGGCATTCTGGCCCCAGATGCTGTGCTCCCGACCACTCTGCTGCACTTCCCTGTCTCTGCAGTAGATTATCTACCCTTGGGTAAACTGGAAATGTAATGGAACAGGGTCCTGGTGCTCTCTTGTCCTTGAAAAAGGGTGTGATATGCTCCCTCCCCCAGCACCCCCCCCGCCCCGCCCCCAGCCGTAAGCAGTAGGAGTGGCCAGAGTAGATTCTGCTTTGAGGCCACTGCTCTGGGGTGGCTCATGTCACCCCTCGAGTCCCTACTCTCCTGTGGGGCTTCTAGTCACAACCAGGAAATCTGGAAGGGAGGCCGGGGGTAGTGTGATTTGTTAAGGGCATTTGAGAGGGGTCTCGAAAATATTGTTACGACCCACTGCTACACTGCAGTTTGTTGTCACAAAGGGTGTGTCTGCCTCAATTGATGTGGATGGGACGGGATGGGACGTGTAGGTCACGTATGTCCTTTCTCTTCCTCAGTCGTCCCACACATCACAGATGCAATCCAGGAGTGGGTAATGAGACAGGCGTTAATACCCGTGGATGAAGATGGCCTGGAGCCTCAAGTGTGTGTTATTGAGGTTTGTTGAGTCTGTTTGGAGCTCCGTGGTACCTGCGCATGTGACCAGGTGTACATTTTCTCCTCCTTAGTCACCCACCAGCAACTGATAAGCCAGTTGCCTGTGAAACCCTTGACCCTCCTAAGGGCAGCATGGCAGGTAAGGGCACAGTCACCATCACGTGGAGTGGCTGCACCATCGAAAGCAATACTTCGTTCACGCAGATCATAAGAGTGGCATGACGCATTCTCGTCTGTCTCTTGAGAAAGTCAGGTGACCCGACCTTCAGCTTTCCTCTGGCAGGGATGTTCATCCCTCTGAATGAGCCTGTTTTGGTTTTAGTTTCTGTACTCCTGCTTTGCTGATCCTAGCTGTTGGATCTCCGTGTTCCTGTGAAAACAGGAGACTCAAAAGTTCCAGCAGTTGGTTTATAACTGCTTTTTAATATAGAAGTTATTTATGGCTAAGTAGATAAGATTTTGATTTCTTTGCTTTGTGACTCTTCATACAAATAAAATTCCTAGTGCGTCTTTCACCTGACCGTTTTCTTGAAATGATGTGGAAAGATCCATGATAACCTTGGGGAATGTTGAACCTATCATAAAAAGTAATCTTTTAGCACAAAGAAAAACGTCCAGTGTCAGTATGTTAAATGACATTTTATAGGCCCAGGGAGTCTGCATTACACTGTTACTGATCATTGAATTGAGATGACAGTATGGTTGTTAGACACCTGAACCACAAAAGGAAGGTTTAGTGCTTAACCTCTAAATTAACTTTGTTCTTCTAGCTTGGTGGGACAGTAGGAGATATAGAAAGCATGCCCTTTATTGAGGCCTTCCGTCAATTCCAGTTCAAGGTCAAAAGAGAGAACTTCTGTAACATTCATGTCAGTCTAGTTCCTCAGGTAAGGCATTCAGAGCTTTACTTTGGGGGATGGAGAGGAGGGAGGTGAGGATGGTTTTCATTCCTTATCTGTTTCAAATATTTGAGGTGCAGGAAGCAGGGAATAAAACACTTCTTTGTGAATTTTAAATTATTATAATCATACTTTTTGAAAAGATCAAATGGAAAACATTTGGAAAATTAATCAGGGAAATTACAGTTAAAGACAGTGGGTTGCATGTGTCCATTTGTCTTTACTACGTGATGAAACTCCACTACAACTGGAGTAGAGGGAATTTCTTTTTAAGGCAAAAATTCACAAAGATAAAATACTCTGAATGGAGTCAGTAGTGACAAAAATTAGGAAGGCAGAAAGCAGATGGACATGTAGAAATGGACTGAGCAGACCTGGGAGAGCTGGATTCTAAGCCTGCAGCGGAGAAAGCAGGGAAGCAACCCTGCTTGCCCTGCAGAACCCCAAAGACTCAGGAGTGGGCAGCACCGGGTACCTCTGGGGCTGGGGGTGGGACTCCTTATAACTGCCGTTTCAGAAGCACTTAGACCCTGGCATCCCCTTCCCTGTTATGCACAATTGGGCATCAGTCCCTCTCCCATCTTGGCAGAGAATGTAGGCTTTTTCTGGATGAGCAGGCACTAGGGACAGTGTGATTTCTGCTACTTGATTTGCAGAATCATCACAGCCAGGCAGGGACCGTCTACGTAGGAGATTGTAAGATTCTTCTTGGGGTATGCAACTAACCCAGGAGAAAACACACTGCCCTCAGAGGCTCCTCAGTGAAAACAGACCAGTCAGATTCCCGCAGTGAGGACCCTGGTGGACAAGGTCACCCACTCAGAGAACTTCCGGTTAGCTTTTAGAGTGAGCCGGCAGCCGGTGATCACCAGACATTTGGAGAAAGCATTTAGCGTGCAAGAGACCAGAACAACAGAAAAAACAGAGGAAATTGAGGCTCTGCAGGGAGTAGGAAAAGGAAACCTTAGAAAAAGAAAACAAAGCAACATATCATTAATATCCTCAGAATTAAGAGGAGATAAACTGCATCTGTTAAACAAGAGCTGGATACCTTAAGAAGAGAACATTCAGAGAATAGATAAGAATTCTTGGAAATTAAAAATTGGATAGCAGGAATGAAAAAGAAGTTTAAGGAAATACCCAGGAAGTAGAGAAGAAAGGTCAAGAGAGAGAAAATAGGAGAGAAAAGGCAAGAGAATTAGAGGCTGGTCTAGGAGTTCTGATCCAAATAATGGGATTTTCAAAAAAATAATAGAAATGGAGAGGGAAGTGTGATGTGAACCAGAGGTCAACAGACAGGCCAAATCAGCCCACCCACTGTTTTTGAAAATAAAACAGCTATGCCCATTTGTATTAAAACATTAATAAGAACCTACTGTATAGCACAGGGAACTCTACTCAATACTCTAATGACCTATATGGGAAAAGAATCTAAAAAAAAGTGGATATATATGTATATGTATAACTTTCACTTTGCTGTACAGCAGAAACTAACAACATTATAAATCAACTATACTCCAATAAAAATTAATTTAAAAAAAATCAGAGTTGGGTAGTTGTGACAGAGACTGTGGCCCACAAAACCTAAAATATTTATTGTCTGGCCCTTTATAGAAAAAGTTTTCTGATTCCTGATCTAAATAATTGAAGGAAATTTCCAGATAGGAGTTTCTAGATTGGAAGGGCCCACTGAACGCTCAGCCTATTAAATGAAAAATGACCCCCACCAAGGCACATTGTTGTGAAATTTTGGAATAATGGGGCAGAAATTCTAAAAAAACTCTAAAGAAAAAAACCAAGAGTCATTATGGCATTAGACTTCAACAGCAATCCTGAAAGCTAAAAGATAGTGAAGCTGTTTCCTTAAAAATTCTTAGGGAAAATGACTTCTAACTTAGAATTCTGTACCCAACAAATGTATCTTTAAGTGTGAGAGGAGAATAAAGATAATTTAGTACATAGAAAACTCAGCATATCAACAAAACAAAACCAAAAAACCAACCAAGGAAAACAAATAATTGGGCCAGAAAGGAAAAGTTATGGCACGTGGTTTTCATGGTACACAGTATGTAAATACTCAAAAGTATGTAAACACTGAAGAGGGATCATGAAATAGGGGTTGCATACACAGGGCAGGTGCGTGTAATGGGGGCAGGGGAATGAAAAGAGTGGATTCCTTACCCAACAGGAAGTCAATAGAAAATGCCTCAAACTGAATGTCAAAGAAGTAGCAGTAAAGCATGCTAGGAGGATCATCCAAGAGTGGGAAAGTGAAGGACCTACGGTATAGCACAGGGAACTACCTTCAATATCTTGTAATAACCTATAATGGAAAAGAATCTGAAAAAGATATATGTGTGTATATATATATATATATATATATATATATATCACTTTGCTGTACACCTGAAACTAACATAACATTGTAAATCAGCTGTACTTCAAATAAAAAAAAAAGTGAAAGAGTGGCTATCTCTAGGGTTTGGAAAGGGGAAAGGGTAGATAGGGCTGCTACTACTGCTTTTAGGACAAACCGTACAGAACTACTTGACTCTCAAATATATGCATGTGTAACTTTGACAAAAATAAAAACTAAACTAGGTAAATGGTCAAATTTTCTATTTCCCTATTATGAAAAGAGGTTCGGGGAAAAGTCACAGCTGAAAATTCCTTTTCATAGAGAAATTAACTTTTTTTTCCTTCTGTAAAATAGCCAAGTTCAACAGGGGAACAGAAGACTAAACCCACCCAGAACAGTGTTCGGGAACTCAGAGGGCTTGGGCTTTCCCCAGATCTGGTAAGATTTCCTGGTTACCTCATTTCAGAGTGATCTTATCTGTCTAATTAAGATCACGCCTCCATGGCAGCCAAAACCTTTTCTTGGCCCCCATTTAGTTAGCCGAGCCGATGGTGGAGAAGTAGGGTTAGTGCTGAGTGGACTGGGTTGTGGTTTGCAAAGATTTTCTTACCTGGTGTGTGTGAGGTCCTGTCTTCTCCTCCCAGCCAATCATTCATTCTCCTGTCCCTCCTATCCAAGAACATCGGTTGAGGAAAACTCCAGTTGGCTCATTAATCTGTCTGTCCTGCCACTCTCTCATGTTTCTCCAACTTGGGATTTAGGAATTTCAGTTTTGAAAACAAGTAACATTTTTACAGTTTATGTGCATTGTGCTAGGAGTTAACATTTTCATCCAGCTTGACAATGTGGTGTCTACTTTAATTTCAGTCACGAGAAAAAACCCAATTTTGTAACCCCTTGTGTCCATCCAAATGTCTAGGTTGTGTGCAGGTGCTCAAATCCTCTCGACACGTCAGTGAAAGAGAAAATATCAATGTTCTGCCATGTTGAACCTGAACAAGTAAGTAGAAATCCCATCTTCACATAACTTATTTTTTGCTGCTAATTATCCTAATGTCTCTTAGCCAGTTTCATGAGCCTTGTTGGTATTTCATAATTTGAGACAGTAGACTGTTCTGTAGAAGAACTGACACCCACCGGCCCTGTGATTCTCCATCACCTTATTTTCTGTGGTTCCATGAACATCTTTTACCTCTCCTGTCTGTCCCCGCTCCTCGTACTGTTTGCTCCAGCCATGCGGAGTGGGTGTTCCCCTCTCCCTGTAGTAGGCCTGGCAATCTCCTATTCATTTTCATCCTTTGGAGCCCAGCTAGGACACAGTATTGTCTGAGTAGCTTTACCTTCCAAACCTCCTCAAACCTCAGGGTTAATCTTCTCTGAGTGACCTGTGTGTCTCACAGGTCCTGGTGGTAAGCCTGTCATACTGCCCCTTAGTGTGTAAGTGTTCCTGTGTGTCTGTGTGTTCGTCCGTGTTTGTCTCTCCTCATAGACTGAGCTTCTTGAGGGCAAGGATCACTTCATTCAACTTTATATTCCTGTTGCCTGCTGTCTAAGGTGTTGTAGGTCCTAAACATATAGTCTTTTTTGTTACTTGTGCTAATGGAGGTTACCTATGGTACAGGAAATTCAACATTTTGGAACCTGTGATATTTCTAAGTGTGGTGCGTGTAATGGAAATTCCAGTGGTGGTAAGTTGGGATTGTGGCTTTGATCAGGTTTGGCTGAAGGAGAGTAGAAGGGAAGTTGAGGTCAAGGAACGTATGATTAGGTTATGGACGGTTTGTTCTACTGCTAGGTTATTTGAGGATCAGGAGACTAAGCGGGGAGCCCACCTGGCCTAGAGAGGAGTGGATGAGGGAGCAGGGTTAAAATAAGAGAAATCCGGGCTTCCCTGGTGGCGCAGTGGTTGAGAGGCCGCCTGCCGATGCAGGGGACACGGGTTTGTGCCCCGGTCCGGGAAGATTCCACATGCCGCGGAGCGGCTAGGCCTGTGAGCCATGGCCGCTGGGCCTGCGCGTCCGGAGCCTGTGCTCTGCAATGGGAGAGGCCACAACAGTGAGAGGCCGGCGTACCGCAAAAAAAAAAAAAAAAAAAAAAAAGATCTAAAATAAGAGAAATCCATTCACAAGGCTTCTAGGAGTATGGGAGAGAATATAAAACAATTAAAGTCATTGCCCTGGCATTAAAGTGAATAGAGCAAGAGGAAAGCCTTTGACTATTAGAAGCAGCTGTCCTCTCCATCTCCACGATGGCTCAAGCTTCAGGGTGTGAGGGTAGCCTGACACCTGAGATCAGTGTTCCTGGACACGATGCCTGAGCCAGGAGCCCATCAAAGGGATTCTGCTTCGTACTAAGTACATGGAACATCAGAATACTCTCATTGTTATGAACAGCCTTTTTTCATGCACTTCAGTTATTTTAGATATTTCTGTCCCAGCAAGTGAAGGTAATTCAATTCTATAATAGAATAGGTTATCATTAAAATTAGTTACTATTAAAAAATGTGACAGTTGTTTCTATATTTAAATTGGAACTTCACATCTTTTGCCTATTTTTAATTGGGTTGCTTATCCCATTGAGTGATAGGAGTTCTTTATATATTCTCAGTGCAAGTCTTTTATCAGATATATGATTTGCACACTTTTTTCTCCCAGCTTGTGGTTTGTCTTTTCATTTTCTTTTGTTTTTTTTGTCTTTTCTTTTTTTAATTGAAGTATAGTTGATTTATAATGTGCTAATTTCAGGTGTATGTCTTTTCATTTTCTTAATGGTGTCTTTGGGAGCATAAAAGCTTTTACATTTTGATGAACTCCCAATTTATTCATTTTTTTCTTTATAGGTTGTGCTTATGGTATCATATCTAAGAACTCTACTTAACCAAGGTCATGAAGATTTTCTTCTGAAGTTTGATAATTTTAGGGCTTAACACATAGGTCTAGGATTCATTATGAGTTAATTTTTATGGATAGTAACTTTTCAGTAAAATTTGCAATTCATCTTTTTGCATGTATAGATATCTAGCTCTTCCAGCTCCATGTGTTGAAAGAACTTTCAATAATATTCTACAATTTTCTTTTTAAAGGTGTTTTTTAGGCTTATATATCTTTGTGAATTGTGTTTTAAATTTATTTATAGGTATTCATAATTTTTGTTACTATGTGAATGGTGTATTTTTAAAAATTATATTTCCTGATTAAATAAGACCCATGTATAGGAAACCCTGCTGACTTCTGCCCATTGATCTCAAGCTTAGCAACCCTACTAAAATTGTTAGTTCTGATTAAAAAAATTTTTTTTTTACTTTTAATTTTTTTGGCTGTGTTGGGTCTTCGTTGCTGCGCAAGCTTTCTCCAGTTGTGTCGAGCAGGCTTCTCACTGCGGTGGCTTCTCTTGTTGCGGAGCATGGGCTCTAGGCCCGCGGGCTTCAATAGTTGTGGCTCACGGGCTCTAGAGCGCAGGCTCAGTAGTTGTAGCGCACGGGCTTAGTTGCTCTGCGGCATGTGGGATCTTCCTGGACCAGGGCTTAAACCCGTGTCCCCTCCATTGGCAGGCAGATTCTTAACCACTGTGCCACCAGGGAAGCCCCGTTAGTTCTGATTTTTTGCCTGTAAATTCCCGTGGTTTTTATGGGTGAGCAGTTATATTATATGCAATTAGTGGCAATTTTTTCTTATTTTCCAATTCTTGTACATTTTTTTCTTATCTAATTGTAATAGCTAATATCTCTAGTACACTGTTGAATAGAAGTAGTGATTAGTGACGAGTTTTGCCTTGTTTCAGACTTTAAATATTAAGCATTAATATTAAATATCAAACCAAATGATGTTTGCTGTGGGGTTTTTATATTTTCACATTTTCTCTAACACTCCTAATTTACCAGGAATTGTTATTATGAATTGGTTTTGAATTTTTATTAAATCTGCTTCCACTGAGGTGATTCCCCCCCCCCACTTTAATCTGTTCATGTAGTGAATTCCACTGTTAAATGTAAGTGGTGTGGGGTGCAGCATGGGCTTTTGAATTTTTAGAAGCTCTCCCAGGTGATGCCAGTGACAGCCAATTTTGAGAACCATTGTTCTTGGGACAGTTCCTACTTGGACATGATTTTTTTTTTTTAACTAATTTGTGGTTTGGTTTATGAACTTTTTTTTTTTTTAAGGATTTTTGCATCCATGTTCATAGGAGATTAGCCACTATGTATTCTATTCTTCTTGAGTTATATTTTTTAGAAAGTTGTTGTTTTCTTTGTTTTCAAATTAAAACAGTTATTTTTCCAAGGTCCTAAGAGCTGGTAGGAGTCCGTCAGCCCAGTTAGTTTTTGTTTGTTTTAATTAACTAACCTTTGCTCATTTTTAAACAGGTGATCTGTGTCCACGATGTCTCGTCCATCTACCGAGTCCCCTTGTTGTTAGAAGAGCAGGGGGTTGTAGATTATTTTCTCCGGAGACTTGACCTTCCTATTGAGAGGCAGCCACGGAAAATGCTGATGAAGTGGAAAGAGATGGCTGACAGGTTTGCTTCATAATAAGGAGCTGGGAGTTCGAGCCTTATTTCTTTTATTTTTGTAGGAGCTCAGGGAATTCAGCTCTTTCTTACTTGTGCTATCAACTCACACTAGAAAAGGCCTTCATGGTAAGGGGTGTAAAGAAAGGATCTTAGCCCTCATGTAGCTGCATCATGGATGAGGAAGTCCCAGTAGAGCTGGCCCGGGTCCCGGGTCTCAGGGAGTTCAGATCACACATCTATCACCCTTGTGTCCCACGCAAGCAGGCCTCCTTGCGGTGGGTTGGCACTGGTATCCGAGGCCCACATGGATGGCTGGATGTGGCTGGAGCACTCCTGGCTGCTCCCAAATATCTGAGCTGTGTTTGGGAACATGCTGCTCACCCCATACTACAAAAGGATCGACAAGGGGGTCTGGTCTTTTCTTACTGCTGCTGTCAAAGCTCATCAGATTGAGAGCTGTCCCCACTCTGCTTGCCTCCTCGCTCTGTGATGCTTGCACAGCACCTCACAGATCTTCACACACCGCCTCGGAGCACTGGGCGTGTGGTGTCGTAGCTGCCGAGTCAGCTGGATGGCACTAACAAGCATTTGTAGAGGGAGCACGCGTGCTGTTGTTCAGCGATACTTATTTTCATTTTGACATTTTCCCTTTCAGTCTGTGTCCATTTGCTTGTATATCATTATGCAGCCACAGTTTTATTTTTGTGTTACTAATTATACTTTATAATGAAAAATTTTAATGAGTATGGACTCTTGTGTGGATGCCCCATAATTTGACTGTTCCCTTCATCACATTAACTCTTGTGAATTGTCTGTGTTTGTTAATTTTTTAACTTAAAAAAAAAAAAAAAGAAAACCAAATTTGGAACGGATTTTGAAGCTATCTCTTTGTAACAGGTTCCAAAATCCTACTTTCTTTACAAAGCCTGCCACGTTGATCTGAAAATTGCTTCCTCTTTACTGTTCAGTACATAGAACACAGACAGTAGTTGCTCCTATCATATTTTTCCCAGACATGTTTTTCTGCTCTTTAAAAGGTGATTTTGACCTCACGGGGGTATGTACCTTCTGAGTGATTTGGTGTCTCTTGACCTTTGTGTGATAGATATGATCGCCTGCTGGAGACCTGCTCTATTGCCCTCGTGGGCAAATACACCAAGTTCTCAGACTCGTACGCCTCCGTCATTAAAGCTCTGGAGCATTCTGCACTGGCCATAAACCACAAATTGGAAATCAAGGTGAGGAGGTGTCGCACAGGTACAGGGAGACCGTCTCTACTCTCATAGGTGCTGCGTGCACACCTGCTTTATATTATTGGAGCTTAGCATTTCTTTTTTAGGAGCCAAAAGGATTTGTGGTTGGCTCCTGGCTGGGAGAGAACAGCCGAGCATTTTCAGGAAATAAGAGAAGATGTAGTCAGAGTAGAACCCAAGAGAGTGAATCCTTGGATCTGAATGTCAGGTGACCCTGGGAATGGGGAGTCCTGGTGGCTAAGCATGCTGCACAATTGCTGGCACCTGTGCCAGTGTCCACCCCATGGAGCTGGGAGGTTTCTCAGGAATGTCCAGTCACCCAGCCGAGGCCGGGAACACGGGCAGCGCCTGGTGAACGGTAGTCACTGAGAAGAAGCTGAGCTGCTGGCATGTCAGGCTGGAGGCAGTGGAGTGTCGAGGTTCAGGGCAGGGGTTCCAGAGCCAGGCGGCCAGGCCTCCGAGGCTGTGTGATGCTGGGCAAGCTGCTTAGCCCTCTTTGGGCCTCAGTTTTCCCATCTTTAAAAAGGGTTGTCACAGGGCTCTTATGATAAGAATTGAATGAGTTCATATAAAGTGCTTAGAACTATACCTGGCAGGGAGGAAGTACCATATGTGTCAGCTCTTCCACTTGTCCCTTTATACCTTTTTCTCAGCAAGGTAGCTCCCTGATGGAGCTTATTAGGAAGAGATGGAAATTAGAAGTGAAGCTGGAGCTCAGTGCTGAGGGGTATTGACTGGGGGGGAGGGGGCAGAGCTGATGGCCCCGAGCAGCTGCCCTCGCTGTTGGCATTGGGGTTGGCCTCCTACTTTCCAGGGCTTCTCGGCATGAAAATGTAGCTTGCTTTATGCTGGTGAACAGGTGCCGAGAGGATGAGCTGTTATATGTGTTTTAAGAATCGTGGGATCTCATTACCCTGCCCTGACTTATTTTTTTGCTAGTTCTTTCGATCATTCATTTATTTTATCTCCTTGGAGGTAGCCTGTGCCGATCATGTGTTAGATGGTGGCGGCTGAGAGGGGAATCCGAGTCAGTGAGGTCTCTCAGGTGTGAAGGGAGCAGGCAGAAGAGGGGGCGAACCTGCCCTGGAAGACGTGTGAGGAGGGGCCCGTGGGCAGGTTGGGAAGATGGATAAGGCAGCAGGGAAGGGCATTCCCGACAGCAGGGAGCGCATATCCAAGGACTTGGAGGTGTGGAATGGTTGGGAACTCAGTGGATGGAAAAGTGTGAATTGGAGGGTGTCTGGAGACAGGCTGGCGAGGGCCTGGTCATGAATCCCCTCAACTGGGCCACTCCTGGATTTTGCCCTGGGGTTCAGGGAAGTCACCGCAGGGTATTAGTAAGGAGCAGGAAAAAAACGAACAACCTAATAAAAAAGTGGGCAGAAGATTTGAACAGACACTTCATAGAAGATGCACATGATATACACGAAAAGATGCTCAACGCCTTTAGTTGTCAGGGAGATAAATGCAGATTGAGTCTCAGTGAGATACCAACACCCACCCACCTGAGTGGCTGAGCGTGTCAGTGAGGGTGTGGGAGTGTAAACTGGTGCAGCTGCTTGAGGAAACAGTCTGGCGGTTTCATATGAAGGTAAACACACGCCTACTGTGTGTGACCCAGAAATCCCACTCCCAGATATTTACTCGAGAGAAATGAAAACATGTCCACCAAAAGAATCTATTTTTATACAAATGGACCAGTTAGTCATAACAGCCAAAATCTGGGGACAGCCCAGAAGTCCAGGACAAGTCGGTGGATAAACATGTCGTGTGGTGTATTCCTACAGTAGAAAAGTACCCAGCAGTAGAAAGGAATAAACTCCGTGGTGATACACAACAACACGGGTGAATCTCAGAGACATTGCACGGAGCTGAAGGCGGCAGACACAGAAGGCTGCACGCTGCATGGTTCCATTTGTCTGAAGTTCTAGAGGAGCTACAGCCTGCGGTGATGAAAGCAGAGCCAAGATTGTCTGAGGCAGGAAGCAGGGAGGACGGTGTTTGCAGGGGGCAGAGGGAACTGGTGGTGGTGGGGGTGACAGGAACTTTCTGGATCTTGATCGAAATGGTGGTCGTACCTTTGTGTGCGTGTGGGACAAAACTCATGAAGTGCACACTTAAAATGCTTGTGTTTCATTGTGTGTAAATTATACTTCAACACAGTTGAGAAAAGTGAGAAGTGACCTAGGGGGAAGATGGACTGGGGGAGACATCTTGAACAGAGAGGACTTCAGGGTCTGCGCTAGCGGACTGAGTGTAGAGCGGATGGACAGCCAGAGTTGGGAATTAAATGATTCGGGAAGGAAACTCATATTTTAAAATATAAGAAAGATCTTAAAGTTTATTTAAAAAAGATTAGTAAGTGTAAATACATTAAGGTTGTTTTTAAACTTTAGTTTAAAACTGGGAAAGATGGAGCGTTGGTAATACTGTTTAGAAATGGTGAGCGCTCAGGAGTCACGAGGCTGCTGCTTTTCTCTCCGCTCTGGCCGCTCCCAGTACATAGATTCCACGGACTTGGAGCCGAGCACCTTGCAGGAGGAGCCCGTGCGCTACCACGAGGCCTGGCAGAAGCTGTGCAGTGCTCAGTAAGCAGAACTCGCTACCTTTGCTTTCCAGGGGTTTGGGGTTTGTCTTAATGAACCAAGTGCTGTGCTTTCTTGTGCTGGTGGTAGGTAATCGGCTTGTTTCAATGTCTTTTAATTGCTGAAAGGACTACGTACATACTGGATGACTGAAGCCTCACAAAAATATGGCTTATCAGTTTCATTAAATGTGAAGAAGACGAGTTCTGATTTTATTGATAATGTTTACTGAATGCATCTGTGGATAAGGCTTATTATTTAAAGGTGTTTCACCCAGAACATTTGCTGAGTACCTGTCAGTCGAGTCTCATAAATAGTTCGTTTTGGGCAGCTCCTGTCTACAATAGTAAAAAATCAAGCCTGAATGTCTAGTTCACTAGAACAGCTGAATCTTACGGAGCCATACAGCCATGGTCAGTGTGGCATGCCGAACTGACCAGCAGAGGCCCCCTTCCTACTCAGGGGAGCACTTCAAGCCAAGAGGTAAAAAAAAATTGCAAACTTAAGGAAAGAATCCCTACCTGGGACAGATACTGTGCAGAGGTGGTATTACAATTATATACAACATCTTTTTTTTTTTTCTTAACTGGTTATAAGCATTTTCTGATGTTAGTAAGAAAGTGGATGGTTTTGTGTGCATTTTCTAAGTCCATAGTGTTTCTGCACAGCTCATTGGCAGTGTTGAAATCACAGTCCTAGCCCCAGCAGCCAAGTGTGTGGAGTGACTTCATGGCACCAGTGTCTTGGAAGTGACTCCTTGGAGGGTTATTGCGAGCTGGACTGGAAAGGGGTGCTTGTGGTATGCTCTCTTGCACAGTGGGGTGCTGGTTCCAGGAGGATTTGGTGTCCGAGGGACTGAAGGAAAAATCCAAGCGATCTCCTGGGCTCGGAAACAGAAGAAGCCTTTTTTGGGTAAGGAGTAGGAAAGACAAGAAAAGGTGCCCCGTGGGAGCCTGTAAATAAAACGGAGATCATCGAAACCAAACATAGATGCCATCTTTCCAGATAGCAACTCAAGTATAGGCCTTTTTGGTTCTGTTTTTTGAGAAATTCCAACTGGTCTTTAAAAGGAAAAATTTAAGCTTGAGCTCCACGTGGCTGTCATGGAATTTTGAGAGAATGAAATAGCAATTAGGAAATCTTGTCCATTTACTGAACCCAGCTGTTTGGCAGGACATGTGAGACTGCGTTTTATATGCTTATTTGGAACACCAGCTGTCTAATTGGGCAGAATGATTTTGGATGCTTCCTGGTGCTGTAAATTTTAGTCATTTCCAACACGACCAATCGTAACTGGGAACTTAATGAGAGAGGGTAAGAAGACTTGAATTTTAAAGTACTGAAGAGACTATTATTTATTTCTAAAATCGCATGACTTCTGAAACCTGGAATCATCATATACTCTTAGACCCCGTTTTTGAAATCTGGTACAGATAAAACATAGCAGGGGGTTGCATGTTTATAGCAGGGAATTACGAGAGTTTGTAATTGGAATTCTGGGAACAGTCAGGACACCAGGTCCACGTAGGCGGGTTGCAAATGTGGGAACTGACTTTTCAATGGAGTTTCATGTGTTTTTCCTCCACCTGCAAGGCGTGTGCTTAGGGATGCAGTTGGCAGTGGTTGAATTTTCAAGAAATGTGCTGGGGTGGCAAGGTAAGTAGGTGTCTACTTAAAAATTTGTTAAATTCTCACTTCAGTGTTTCTGGCAGCTGTCGGGTGAGGGGGAGCCATGGAGGCCAGGCCTGGTTTCTCAGTACCTCGCAGATGCAGCTAGGGGAGCTGCTGAATTTACCGAGGGAAAGCGCTGTCCTCCAAGGGAACCGCCGACCACCGGAGGAGGGGACACAGCTGAGCAAGTCGCCTGGCTCCGCCGCTGCAGCTGCTGCTCTGGCGATGCCCGCACTCCTGTCGTCACGGCCACCGTCCCTGAGCTGGTGTCCGGCAAGGAAACTAACTCTGGCTGGTGTGAGGCTGTGTGGTTATTATGAACTTGGGTGCTGGAGCTGGTCAGACCTGGGCTCAGATTTTGACTTTTATCACTCAGGATGGGTGATTTTAGGCAAGTTACTTACTTAGTCTTTCTGGACCTCTGTTTCTTCTGTAAGATGGGGGTCATAGTGGTACCTACCTCACATGGTTGTAGGAGTTGAATGAAATAGTGCCTATAAGTAGCCCCAGCACAGTGCCTGGCACTTGGGGAATACTCACTAATCTTGGCCCATGCTTCACGGACTGCATTACTGCGTCCAGACTGAGAACCCAGTGGTTTCCTGTTTCTCAGCACTCTGTGGGGTTGAGTGGACTGGCTGTGTGCTTTTCTGCTCCACGTGGTGTGTCTGAGCTTGTCCTGTCCAGCGGGGACAGGGGTTCGGTCTCATCGTTCACTAATTCAGCTGAGCTTCCTCACAGCGTGGCGACTGCCTGGCTCCCGAAATGACAGGCTTGCTCTGCCAGCTTTGACTGAGCCTGCTCGCGTCCCACGGCCGAGCCCAGCCAATGGGGCAGCGGGCCATACACGGCGTGAGCCCTGGGATGCAGTGGCCCCATCGGGGCCGCCAAGGGAAGGGCCTGCTACAGGACCCTTACGAGCTCTAAGAAAACTCAGCGGAGCAACCCGAGGAATAGAAAGACCGCCCAACTTTACCAGTATGATTCCCTGTGCCCAGCTGACCGTTAGGGCTGGGTTCACGTCACGTTTTTCACAGTAACCCTAAGGGAACGGTGGCTCAGTTCTGTAGGCATCATGCTCCCTGGTGCTGGCTTCTGAGCTCCTGGCAGGCACGGTCCTACCACCCGCCGCCCTAGAGGTGGCCCTTGGGCACCCTGGACCCCTTCACAGCCATGATCTCCTGCTGCTGCACCCACTGGGGTCCCCAGGTGGGTGAGTGACCTGGTGATGAGCTGACTCGCGTCTGAGGCCTGGCCCTCGTGTAGGCCCCAGAGGGGAACGATGTCCCGCGTGTCGCACAGAAAGAGCAAGCAGACGCGCAGTGCCAGGGACTTGGTTCTTTCCCTTTTAGTCTTCAGTGGTTTCCCTTATGGTTAGTCGGTAAATTCAGTAAAGGATAGAAAGGTTAATTTTTGATTTAGCTCTTGAGTGGGGCAGTTGGGTAGTGCTGAGGATGAAAGAAATGAAGAAACGGTATTTGCCCATTGAGGAGAGAGACAGTCTGAGACGAGAAGTGAAAAAACTGAGACAACGATATAAGCCGTCAAAGGGATGCACTGTCTAAATAAGGATTTGGAGGTTGTGCCGTTGGTTTTGACTTTCCGATTTCCCCGCTTTGTGCAGCTTGACTTCTCAGAGAGCTGCAGGTTTAATGGGAAAAAATTCACCTGTGTTTGTGTGCTGAGTATCTTATATCTTAAAAATGTCATCCCTGGTTTTGGTTCTAATCACTGAATAACTTTAAACTGAGGAGGGAAATTGTGATTTAGAGCTTAGGAATGAAACTTTAAAAAAAATCAGTTTTGTTGTAACTATTTTTATAACAAAGGTATTTTGGTTTCTCAGATGCCAATTCTACGGAGTTTGACCCTAACACCAATCATCCCGTGGTGAGTCCAGTGTCTGGAGCGTCTGGAAGGTGGTGAAGGGCCGTTGATGAAAGTGATTCAGGGTTGGAGGTGGGAAATGAGACCACTGGGTTCATTCCAAAGAACCCTGAGGTCCCGCGCTTTCAGACGTCCCAGATAGGGAGAACTTTTATTTTTCATCGTGTAGTCTCTCACTACTCTTCCCAGTCTGCCACAGAAAGTTTTTAAGACAGGTGCCACTGCAGCCTGATTAAAGTAATTCTCCACCCCTGCCCTCCTACCTCCCAGGAGCACTTTAGAACGATACTGTCATGAAACACTTAGGCAGGCACTTATTATGTACCAGGCACTGTGCTCACTGCTTTGTATATATTAATTCACTTAATCCCCAACAACCCTCCGAGATGGGTGTTTTTTTAAAGAACTGCTGGAATTTAGTACTGATTGTTTGACGTAGGCCCGAGCCCTAGGAGGCTGGAGCCCTAGGAGGCTGGCATTCCTCGTGTTATATTTCCCATCAGAGGAATGTGGCTCAGTTGGGGACAGACAATGCCTTTATTCATCTTTGAATCCCCAGCGCAGGCGTGACAGGCCTGTTCTTGATACTGAGGATGTTGTGATAAACAAGGTGGACAAGACTCTTGACCTCAGGGCACTTGAACAGCATTAGTATGTATTTATTGAGCCGAAATTGAACTTTGCTAATACTCAGACCTCAGGAAGAAAAGAGCAGAGGTTTTGAAGCGTGGGACCCTGGGGAGGTAGGGGAGCACAGAGAAGGTCTCCCAGGTCAGAAGGTGCTCGGGGGAGCGGGCAGTGGGCTGGGCTGTCACAGCTGGGGGGCCTCGGCCTCCGCGTCCCACAGATGTTCACCAGACTCTCCTGGTTCACAAACCCCAGATGAGCATCCCTTTCCTCTGAGCAGCTGTCAGTCTAGTGGAGGAAACGTCTGCGCACATGTCTGGTTTGGTATCCACGCTGCTGTGTTAGTCTTTATTAGAACAGGCACTTAGGATCCAAAGTGTCGGGGCAGGAACGGCCAGGGGAGGGGGCAGCTGTGTCTGGTCCTGCGGCTCAGGAGGACGGGCTGAGGATTAAACACTTACCCATCAAAGGTTTAAGAATGATCACTGGGAGGCCTTTTCCTCTGCAAGTGTCACTTCTGAGGAAAGGCTGGGCCCCCTCACGGGCTCACTTCGCTCAGTGCAGGCGGTCTGTCTCCTAACTGAAGCAGGGTTTGGTAGCACATGTTTGTTTTTGGAACGTCTCCAGGTCATAGACATGCCAGAGCACAACCCTGGCCAGATGGGCGGAACCATGAGGCTGGGCAAGAGGAGAACCCTGTTCCAGACCACGAACTCTGTCATGAGTAAGAGCTGCCTCCCACGGGCCCAGCCTGTGGCTGGCACGTCCAGGACACACGTCTTGGTGCTGTGGCCAGGCTGGCGTTTTTGGTTTTGTTCTTACTCTTGAAGTTCTTTTTTCCTCTCCTGGTGACACTCCTTAGGATGCACTGTAATAGCCAGAGAAAGCACTGTGGCTCTTAGAGAGGTCACAGGCAGTACAGCCGGGGACCTGGGGGACTTCGGGTGTGGACCCCTCAGCAGAATGAGGCGGTTAGGTGAAGTCCACTGCAGCCTTAACTCTCCTGTCCTGTCAGATGAAACTGCTGATCTCGGTGACTTTTGTCCCACAAAAATGGCAGTCTCATCCGGTTCAACCCAAATAGATTTTATTCTACAAGTACTAATATATGCCAAAGACGCAGGGGAAATTTGAGGAGGAAAATACTTAAAAGAACTCGATTGGATTTTCTTTTCTTCCCACTGGGAAAACTGTCATTGTTGGCAGGGCACCCGTGCATCTATCTGGGGTTTGGAGGCACCGTAGTTTGCATCACTTGAGCAGGTGGTCGTCCAGTCCTCCGGCTCTAACGTCCTGTGGTTTGGGGGTCTCACCTGGCTCAGGGAAGACACCCGCTGGCACGGGCCGCGCTGGGTCCCCAGGCACAGCAGGTGCCGTGCGGCTTTGGGTGCCGCCAGAGCGCTTTGTGCCTCTGTAGTCACGTGTGAGAGGTGGTGGTGAAAGTGTTTCTGTTAGTTTTCCTTGGTTGCAAAGAGTCAAGGCCCAAGAATTAGTCTGAACGGTGCTGCTAGAGCAGGCGGTGGGGTCGGTAGGAGAGTCATAGAAATAACCTTCAAAGGGCCTGGCCGGGTAGGATGAGAAGCAACCCGGGAAGCAAGATGTGGTTGTGAATAGCCTCCTTTGTGAAATCGGAAGCCTTTACGCCAGCCTGCTTCTTTTGCCAGGGAAACTCTACGGAGACGCAGATTACCTGGAAGAGAGGCACCGCCACAGATTTGAGGTGAGGATTTGAGCTCTGTGACCTTCCATATTTTCTCCTTTCTGTTACGCCGGAAACGCAGTCAGCTGAGAGCCCGGCAAAATTGTTCTTCATGCCTCGACAGGTGAATCCAGTCTTGAAAAAGTGTTTGGAGGAGCAAGGCTTGAAGTTTGTTGGCCAAGATGTTGAAGGAGAGAGAATGGAAATCGTGGAGTTGGAAGGTGATCGCTTGGGCCGTTGTGTTTAGTGGGGAACTTAGTCAGGCTTTCTTGGCATGTGGGGAGAACACAGCAGTATAAGTTGTTGTCCTTGACCTAACCACATCAGGCAGCAGCGCTGTCTGGGGGTCTTGGTGAGCGAGGTTCTGGGGCCCCGGGAGGCTCACCCTTGCGCTGCGGCCTTGCCATTTGACCTCTGGCTTCAGGTCCTCGTTCTCCAGAATGAGAGCTTGGACTTGGTTCTCAAGCCTAATCTCGCGTGACCTGCAGGACTCAATCCCGCGCAAGTCAGGGAGCTGGGGGTGGGGGGCGTGGCGAGGGGAAGGGTGGCAGGAACCTGGAGAGGAGGCGCCTTTGGCCACAGGGTGACAGCGTGCAGGTGGGAGAGCATCGGTTCTCCCGTGCTTTGGGGTTGCCTCTACCCAGGCTCCCAATAAGTTGTTTTCAAATCGTTTTACGGTCTGCAGAAACGTGGAGCATTTAACCAGATTTTTTCCCCATCTTTCACATGTTATGCAGACACACAGTGAAGCTGGTTCTTTCGCATTTCTGTTTCAGATCATCCCTTTTTCGTTGGAGTTCAGTATCACCCTGAGTTCCTGTCCAGACCTATCAAGCCTTCCCCACCGTACTTTGGCCTCCTCCTGGCCTCCGTGGGGAGGCTCCCACATTACCTCCAGAAAGGCTGCAGGCTCTCGCCCAGGTGGGGTTACGCTCCCTTAGTCCCTCGAGTGGTCACTGATGCCTTCCAGCGGGCCATCATCACACCATCAGTGATGAGCAAAACCACAGGAACGGGGAGCCTTGCTGGGGCACTTCTCATGCTGACACGCAAGCTTCCTCTCCTTCTCTGGGGTTTTCTCAGGCTGCTTCTGTGCCACCCCTGGCCTTCCCCAGCCACCCGGCATGGTGGCCAGGTCTCCCCCTCTGCAGCATCTGGCGCCACGATCACATCCGGGACCCTGTGGTCAGTGGGGAACTGTGTTTCTTCATCGGGGTGTCGGCCACAGCCTGGGTGGGTTTCATGCCCTACTGCTACCTTTATCTGGAACCAGTCGGTTACCCTGTCTTGGTGGTTAGGGCATCATGACTGAAGTATAAAGCGAATGTGTATCTTTAACAAGAAGAAGAAAATGCCTCTGCAGCTTTCTGCTCAATATATAATGTCTCTGATTTCTGCTGTGTGCAGACAAGCATCCCTGTGGTAGTGGTGGCTATAGAATGAGGGAAGTGAAGCGAGTGTTTGGTGGGAGCTGATGGATAAACCATCTGAATTCTACAGGGACACCTACAGTGACAGAAGTGGGAGCAGCTCCCCTGACTCTGAAATCACTGAACTGAAGTTTCCATCAATAAATCATGACTGATGGTAACGTAAGTGATATTTTTAAGCTTTAGTTTTATTTTGTTTTCAATGGTGATAACAATAGAATTGTAAGGATATCATGAAAGTTTAGTGTTGAAAAGTTTCATCTGCCAGAGGATGTAAGTGGTCAGGTCAGCGTGGGCATCAAATGGGTGAGACCCCCCCCCCCCACCGCCCCGTCCCAGTTACAGTACATCTACCCACCCTGCTTTGGGGACTCCAGCAGGGGGACACCAGGCACGGGGCAATTGTCTCCTTGCCGATTGCTACATTCAGGTGCCAATCTGACCAGATTTGGGGGAACTGGATTCTTAGAGCCATGTTATTTCATGTAGCTGTAAGCTTGGAGATCTTGAAGGAGGTGACAGGTATGAAAACATAGTGTCATTTCTGCAGACCCTCAAGCTTGCACCGGGAAGTGCTTTATTTTTAAAAGTAGTTTTAATTTTTGTTTTTTGTTTTTTTTGGCTGCATTGGGTCTTTGTTGCTGCGCATGGGCTTTCTCTAGTTGCGGTGAGCGGAGGCTACTCTTCATTGTGGTGCGCGGGCTTCTCATTGCGGTGGCTTCTCTTGTTGCAGAGCACGGGCTCTAGGCCCGTGGGCTTCAGTAGTTGCGGCATGCAGGCTCAGTAGTTGTGGCGCACGGGCTTAGTTGCTCCGCAGCATGCGGGATCTTCCCGGACCAGGGATCAAACGCATGCCCCCTGCATTGGCAGGCGGATTCTTAACCACTGTGCCACCAAGGAAGCCCCGGAAGTGCTTTAAAACCAATACATACAACACTTTTGTGTTGATTGCTGCTTATTCTTCAAATCCTTTAAAATCGGAGCAGTTATTGAACAAACTTGGAATATTTGTCTTTTGTGACCACGTAAGTTTATAAAGTGCAGTATCTGTGGGCGACTGCCGAGAATTGTATAAATTCCCATTAAGGTAACTGAGCGAACTGTCGGCAGAAATATACACTCAGAAGGGGGCTGGGGCATCAGCCGGAACTCTGTGGGGTCCAAGGGAGAACCAGGGGTGTGGGGGTCCCCCCACAGGTTAAGATGAGCTCCTGCCTCAGGCACGGGCAGGTGACCTCCCTGAATCCTGCACAGCTTGCCTTCTCCACCAGGGGGCCTCTTCACCCGCAGGTCTGCTCTCACGGGCCCATGGCCCCTAGCTGCCTGGCCTGTGATAAGCTTAAGCTTAGTCGGGTGGGCGACATGAAAAGTAGGTCTAAATCAGGAGGAGGGCGTTGGTTGCCTGCTCTGCCAGGTCAGCATTTAGCACTGATGTACTCATTAATCTTCACCAGATAGTTTGCTGTAGGCAGTTTGATAGTCTAAGTAACTGCAGTGGAGAGAAAGGAAACTTTGTAACAGTAAAGGGGTAGATATTTGGTCAATGATACGGAATTTCTAACTGCCTCCCCTGGAGCATGTATTCTCTGTCAGTGGCACTGTTAAGAGCCTGGTGCTGTGGAAAAGAACACTTGTATTGGGGTAGAGGTGGAGTCCATGTAAGATCTTGAAAATGTATAATTCCATAGGAATCAGAAATTTAGCTTCTCATTTATGTTAGGCTCCTACTACAACTGGTCCTCGATGAAAACCAGGCATAGTTTACCATAGCAGCTGACTACAAATCCTAACTTCTTTTACTTTAACATACATCATATAATTGCTCAATTTTTTTTTTTTTAAACAGGGATGATTCTTGAAGAGAGCCTTTGGACTTCAGGAGTTTACAGCTTTGATTTTACATTCAGCTTTTGACACTTCCTTTAAATTATGTTTTTATTAAGATGATTTTATTTTGAGGGAAGGTATTTGTGACTTGCATGTCCCGCCGTGTGTCCTGGCTCCCGCACGCTGTGCGGTCCGGTGTCCCGCACTCTCCTTTGCGGTCCTCCAGCCTCGGGCGAGAAGCAGGACATCCGGGCGGAGCGGGTGATGGCCGGGTGCCAGGGGAGCCCATCGGTCACCGCGCTTCTCCAGCCACCTTGCGTCACTGTGGCTTCGAGCGTGTAGCTGTTCCTTCCCCCGATGCCGATGCCATTATAAAAGGTGGGCCGTGCGGCCTGTGTGGGCAGAGAGGGGTGAGTCCAGCTGGTGCTCACAACCCAGTGCCGGAGCCCGAGGGCACTGCTTGAGCAAGAGCCGTGAAACCAGAAACAGAGTCGGCTCTGCCCTGTGCTGGAGGACTCGTTGTCCAAAAGGACGGTCAGTTTGGCGTCACACAGAACGGCAAGAACTCTGTCTCTCTGAAGTCTGAGTTTAGAATCCGCGTCCTCTTTAGAAGCCGCGCTTCTCTTCTCGGGAATCACTCCTTGCATCAAGGGGTCACTTAACAAAGAATCTTTTGGGGAAACTGCCTCTAAACCCCTCTCATATGGGGTTTTGCTCGAGGGAACTTTACAGCTTTGCTCAAGGGGACTTTTGCCTTCCAGAATGGTGTTACTACGGTTGAAATGCAATGTATGAAAAGCTATTTTCTTAATGTGGTATAACGACAGGCAGAGCTGCGTGCCCATTATATCCTGGCTGGACTCGGTGTATACTCTAACTTAAGAAATAAATAACGCAGAGCAAGAGACACACTTTGTTTGGAATGCTTGTGTCGCAGCCGGGTGGGCGCTGTCTGAGTGCGGGGCCGGCGTGTGTGCGTCCCCTGAGCCGTCAGTGCTGGGCTGTCCTCCCGGGGAGCAGTAGCTGAGGTGGGTGATCTGATTGTTTAAAAGCTAAGAGAGGAGCCTTTCTTTTTAATAGGAACCAGAATTTTCCAAAGAGGCTTCAAATTTAGGTTCTCAGCATGTAGAGGTACAAAGAAGCCTCACCGCCCCGTCCGCTCCCCGGCAGCCCTCCTGCACCCAGGCCTTCCGATTTCAGGTCATCGGCCTCGCTGGTTTTTCCTCCACAGTGAAATTCGAGATACTGAATCCACGCTCCTCGTGGCACGTTGGCAACATTGGGACCACCTGCCCGTGAGCCAGCTCCTCTGCAAAGTGTGTCTGAGGCCGAGGCTCAGGGCTCGGGCCGGGCTGTTTGTCAACGGTCGGCAGGCTTTGCTGGTTTTCATTTGGAAAGGGGGTGTTGGGAGAAAAATGTTTCTCACCATTTGGCGCAGGCCTTCCATCAGAGAGACCCAGAAAGGAGGCGGGCTCCCTCTTGTCCCTCCATGCACTGGTCCAAGGCCACCATCACGGCTGAGGCCCCAAAGCCCGTGTGGGAACACCGCTTCCTGACCCAGGGCAACCCAGCTGCCTCTGTCCGTGTTTCTCACGGGCTGAGTTACAATGTCTTCACTTACAGAGGTCTTCATACTTGTTTGGGTGCTTTGAATGTGGCTGACTGGGTGAATTCTAACCCCTTCTCCCATCTGGTGGTCCCATCAGACAGTCTTCAGTCATTTTTGTAAAAGCCATTCCCCAAACTGAGGGCTCTTACGCCTGTTGGTGACAGCAGCTCCCTACGACAGTGGGTAGTTTTCAAAGCCTCACAGGGTCAGCTGTGCCCGCCCCTGCTTGGAGAAGGCCTCCGCTGACTGGTTGTGAAGTGCTGGCTGCTTGCATAACCTTTCTAGAAAAGGGACCCCCCCCCGCCCCCCAGGATGGCTCTCCAGGGGCTGCAAAGCCCGACCAGCCTACCACCCTGGCTGTGGAGACAGGGCAGTAGCAGGGCCGAGGGCTGAAGCCGAGACTGCACGGAGGGTGGCCTTCACGCCCGGTGTTGGCTGCCCAGTGCCCGGAGGCTTCTCTTTGGGGAGTAAGCCTGGCCAAGTCCCCCCACCCTTCTCTTCAGCACTGGTGATCCGGATAGGTTCTGCCTTTGTAGAGCACCTCCGAGGGCTGCGGTGCCTGGGCATCCATGCGCCTGGCCCGAGGGGGGCGCTCAGCAGCGGGTCCCCTCTGACCTCTCGAGCTGCACATCCTCTGTGCAGTTTTTTTTTTTTTGTAATTTTACTTATTTATTTATTTTATTTATGGCTGCGTTGGGTCTTCGTTGCTGTATGTGGGCTTTCTCTAGTTGTGGCGAGGGGAGACTACTCTTCGTTGCGACGTGCGGGCTTCTCATTGTCGTGGCTTCTCGTTGCGGAGTACGGGCTCTAGGTGCGCAGGCTTCAGTAGTTGTGGCACGTGGGCTCAGTAGTTGTGGCTTGCGGGCTCTAGAGCACAGGCTCAGTAGTTGTGGTGCATGGGCTTAGTTGTTCCGTAGCATGTGGGATCTTCCTGGACCAGGGCTCGAACCCGTGTCTCCTTCATTGGCAGGCGGATTCTTAACCACTGCACCACCAGGGAAGCCCCTCTGTGCAGTTCTTAAGTGGCTTCTGAGAAGCTGGCTCAGGCCCTAAGGTCGGTGACCCCGAGCAGTTCAGTGGGTTGGTAATCCATCATGAGGTGGGCATCCATTACCACCTTAGGTCCCTATAACCAGTGTGTTTGGTAAATGGGAAAACCAAGTTTCAGAGCAGTTGTGATTGGCCCACGAGGGGTCCTCTGTTGTCTACTCCATGGATGTGGCCAAGGACCTCTAGGCTGGGGGAGGGAGAGGGGATCACTGAAGTGTGTTCCATGGACCCCCAGTCCTGTGAAATACCCTCTTCGACAAAGTTTCATGGTTTTCTAGTGCCTCAGGCCCCAAATTTAGGAGTATCCTTGATTCTTTCATCAGCAAATATTTACTGGGCATCTGCCACATGCCAGCTATGTTTTAGTTTCTAAACTTAAAGCAGTGGACAAAACAGACCAGAATCCCTGTCCCCATTAGCATGCATTCTAGTGAGGAGGAAACAACAAATAAAAGCTACAGTGTGACTGATAAGTGCTCTGCAGAAAGAAAAACATGGAAGCAGGGAAGAAGAGAGTAATTTGCAATAGAATGGGTAGGGAGGTTCCTTTCCTCTCCACTTGAGGGTGGAGCATTCCAGGCTTGGAAGCAGCCAGTGCAAAGGCCCTGAGGCCGGTGTACTCATGAAACAAGTTGGTCAGTGTAGCTGGAATGCAGTAGCAAGAGGCAGGAGGCCTTGAGGGCAGGTGAGCCAGGTCAGGGGGGGATTGTGTGGACTGTTAAGGCTTTGCTCTTGATGAGATGGGGAGCTCTTGGAGGTCTTTGAGCCCAGGCATGTTCTAGAAAGAACCATTCTTGCCTGGGTGCGGATGTTGGCTTTATAGAGCCTCTGGCTCCACTGGTGGAGATGACAGGGGAAATGGCCAGAGCAGGAATCCTCTCCAGTGGCTGGAGGGTGCATGGAATGGAAGTCAGACCCTCCCTGTGCAGGTGTTGGTGTGTGCTGGAGAGAAGCAGGGTGCCAGCTGTCCCCTGTTGTCCTGTAGATGAAGAAACTGAAGCAGGAGTATTGTGATTTGCCCTAAGGTACCCGTCTTCAAGGCGGAGATGGACTGGGACCCAACCATCCAGGCTCCTTACCCCACAGCTTTGTAGGGGGAGGAACTCAGGGCCCCCTGGACAGAAATGGGCTGGGCATGGGACTCTACCCAGCTGCATCCAACCAGCCAAGTGTTCTAGAAAGAACCATTCTTGCCTGGGGGCATGTGATTTATTACAGAGCTTTGACAGTCCCAAATCCCAGCAAGCCAGGGGTGGGTCTGCAGGGTGGCCTGTCCACCCTGTAACCACAGTTATCAATGTACTTTGCCATCTGCAGAGGGGCTTTCCCAAGGTGACAAGTCCCTTTCTGGACCTGCCTAGCCAACGGGAGTCAGAGACCCAGAGGGACGGTCCCTTACAGCTCAGCCCAAGGAGAGCGCTGGCCAAGTTTTTACACGTTCTTTCTGAAAGTAAGTTGCCTTGGGGATCGTGCTAAGTGCAATTTCTCAGCTACACAGATCGGGGTCTGCTCAGGACTGACACCACGTGGGGACCAGCCCGTGTGAGCACACTGTTGTAGAAGGAGCCAGCAAGTGCAGAGCTCCCATCCACCTCTGAGCAGCCCAGACTGGTTTTACTGGGGGGACGTAGGGTCAGTAGGACGGCCCTGCGTGTTCCAGGTAGAGCGCTGGGCCCTCACAGGACGCAGCAGGTGCAGGAGATGGGCTTGTACCGCTGGAGCTGCTGCTGGAGCTGCTCCTTCTCGGCTGTCAGCACCCGCAGCCTCTCCTCCAGCTTGCTCAGCTCAGCCGTCCACTTCTGAGGGGACATCAGAGAAGCGTGCCTAAGCTGACATCATCTCAGAACCGGGGCTGAACTGGTGGAGGAAGGGAAGGCCCAGAGAGCCTGGGGGACCTGCTTAAGGTCTCTGGGCACCGTACTGGCCCTGGTAGGTGGAGGAGCCAGGTCTCCTGACCAAGTCAGCCCTGGGGTCTCGGGGAGAGTCCTGCCAGCATCCCAGACGCTGGGGTGACCCGTCCTCCGCAGCCTGCACAGGTACCGGGGCGGGCTCAGGCTGGCAGCCCCCCGCCATGTCCTTCTCCCTCTCTGTCAGCCCCTTGGCCTCTTCTGTTTTTCTGTCACCTATGTTTCTCTCTTGAAAAGGCTTTTCCTTGGGACTGTGTCCAAGTGCTGTGTCCAGCACTCACTGCCTCCCCGTCTTGAGGGCCTCCGCCCAGTGCAGTACGCAGCCCTCTGGTTTGTCTTAGAACTTCAACATTCCACTCTGCCGGCGGCCCCAGCTACACCGCAGAGGAATACCGGAGGTAGCGGGGTTGTTGCAGTCCAGCCCCTGGGGAGCACCAGAGGAAACCCGACAGCTGCGAGCCTACCCAGTGGGTGGCCGAGGGGCCCAGGGCCAGCGTGGCCCCTACCCTGCCTGCCTGGCCTGGGCCACTTACCTGCCTGCCCCACTCCTGGATGGCGCGTACGGACAGGGGGCCCTGGATGCTCCCGTCCCGCCGCAGGAACACCTCCCCCTGGTCCGTCTCGTAGAGCTGCGGCTGGGCCTGGGCCTTGGGGGTGTGCACGCTCAGGCGGATCACCTGGGGAAGCGCAACGGCAGCTCTGCGGGCGCTGCACCGGACGGTGTGCAGCCCCAATCCCGTCTCTCTGGCTCCGGGGCAGCCTGGGGGCGCTGGGGGCAGGGCTCACCTTGAGGGGGGTGCCGGTGGCAGAGGTGCGGACCACAGGGATGAAGGTGAGTTTGTAAGCGTCAGGGAAGACCTGGGGGTTGAAGCCCTGCAGGATGGAGTCCACCAGCAGGCGCACGCGGTCCTCGTCACGGTGGCTGCAGCGGATGCCCTGCACCAGGCCACTGTCCTCCACGCCCACCAGCAGGCTGCCGCCCTCGCTGTTGAGGAAGGCGCACACGTAGCGGCGCAGGTGGTGCTTGAAGGCCTGGCTCAGGTACTCGCCGCCCCCCCTCTTGAACTCCACGTTGCGTGTCTCGCTGCCCAGGAAGGCGCCCTGGAAGAGGCGCTCCTGGCCCAGGATCTCTTGGTGCACGATGGCGCTGTCTGAGCGCGTGCCACTGGGCCGGCCTGGGGAGTCCTGCCGTGGGGTGGGGGCCTGGGTAGGAAGGGGTCTGGTGAGCCAGGCCAGCGGGGGGCTGGGGCTCGGGCTGCTGTCTTCCTTCTGCTGGGGTGGGGGATAAGAGCGGGGCATATGGGCCCAGGCAAGAGCCGGGAGCCCTGACCTTGGCGGCCA